TTTTTTTTTTTTTTTTTTTTTGAGACAGGGTTTCACTATGTAGTTCAGACTGACCTGGAACTCACTATGTAGCCCAGCAGGCTGGTCTCGAACTCACAGCGATCCTCCTGCCTCAGCCTCCCGAGTGCTGGGATTACAGGTGTGAGCCACCACGCCCGGCTTAAAATTCTGATTTTGTATCTTTGGGGAACTGGGCTCCCAGCCTCTTTCAATGGGATCATGTTAATGACCATAGCAACCATGAAATTAACCCTCATATAATCTTGCAGAAGTAGTAAAACAGAAATTGAAAGCCCAACTGAGACTTTGTAAAAAGCACTGTGCAGAGAAGGAGGAGGAGAAGGAGGAGAGGAAGAGAAAGAGGAGGAAGAAGATAGGAGGGGGGTGAGGGGGAGGGGAAGAGAAGGAAGAAGAAGGAGAAGAAGAAAAAACAAATCTGCCAAATCAGTAGGATACTGTTGCCATTGAATAGCGTAAGTTTAAATGCTGAGTCACTAAGCAAAAGCTAGGAAGGAAATCAATACCACTTTTACTCTTCAAAAGGTATCATACATTCAGCAGGGTCATTACTCTCCCTGATACAGAAATGATTTAAACCCATGTTCCTGGTAGAATACCATGGCCACTATACAGTGTTCACACATATCCCCCACCCCCTGCCTTGGGAAGATTTTAAACTGTCACCATGAAACAATGGACTTTCCATGTAAACATATCACAGTAACCTTATTCTTCTGTAGATAAGGAGAAATTTAAACTTACATAAAGATGAACTTCTTAGGTCACATGCACTGAAGGAGAGTCAGGCCCTTAAGCACAAAGGAAATGTTAAGTGTTGACCAGCAGGTCAAATCAAAACATCATGACCACTTCAGTTTGCTAGTATTCTCCATAATCTCTCACTTATAGTTTTGGCTGTTTATCCAGAGATAATATAATCTTCCAGTGCCACTAGTTGAAATGACTTGCTCTATTCATGGGTTAGTAAGGTTTCATAAGAGAGTACTTATTGCCTGCTTCTCAGTTAAACTGGTAGCCAAAACCCCAGATTGCCTTTACTCATTAAAAAGTAGGCAAAATAACAACTTCGTATGAAAGCAAATTCTACTTTGTATTACATATTTCGTGTATAATATGTATTTAATATTCAAAATAATTTACTATATTGCCATAATTTATATTATCTATTCAATAAATATGTGTTATAATATTAAAATATGTAAATAATTATAATCTAAGATTATATTATCCATATCTTTCGAGGCCCAAAATTATTGGGTCTCAAAAACATGAGATAAAAAAACAATGCGAGCAATACTCTACCACTACATGCTAGTTGAAAGCAAAATGAATATAACGTTTAGAAGTTAGGATGTGTAACTAGAAATATAAAATATTCCACATATTCCAAGCCAGCTCTGCCATTTCTCATAGCCGTGTCTCCTTTTCTCAGCTGTTGGCGGGACGCTGGCCTTTTGAGCACAATAACATTGGCATTTTTCTGTGCAAGCTCTTCCCCTTCCTGCAGAAGTCCTCCGTGGGGATCACCGTCCTCAATCTCTGTGCTCTTAGCATCGACAGGTAAGGTACTTCCTTTCCTTTGTGTTTCTGGTGGGTTTAGAGAAACATTTTCCTCAAAAAGTCAAGAGAGTTGGCACCCAGAGCAGTGTAATGGAGTATACCATCAAAACCTTGCCTGTATGATTTTAAATTGCTTCAGACATTTGCTGACATTAGTCATCTGTGCCTTGGGTGATGTGCACCTACAATATTTTCCCGATAATATGCAGTTGGAGATTACACTTTGGGCCACATACATGCTAGGCAAGTACTCTACCACTGAGCTACATCCCCAACCTTAATTTTTAAAATGTAACTTTAAACAAGAAAGTAATCATGACACTTAGCAGAAGGAACAATGTATTCTACACACATTCTTCCTGTATATTATTAAATGTTATAAGCTACAGTATTTCAAACAATGTAGTACAAATCTTCATACACTGCAAAATCAAAGGAAATCCGAAATAAGCACTGGAGCACACAGACATGTCATACGGGCTGAAATCACTTTGAACCTAACGGGAAAAGGGAAAGGTTCTTTTGGAAGTAGTGTTAGGATTCTCTTAGAAGTAGTAGTCATTGAAAAAAAGCATGTTAAAAAATCTTATAAATACTATTATCAGTAATAATATTTATAATAATTGCCAGTTATTGATATTAGTGTCAGGCCCTGTTATAAATATTTCACAGAAACTACTTTTATTTAACTGTGATACAAGCTATAATTATCCCCATTTTACAGATAAGCAAGCTGGGGTTGAAATAGGTTAATCCCATCCCCATGCCTACTAAGCGTTGGTGACAGTAATCAAACGTAGGTGGTCTTCCTTCTTAACAACTATACTGACGCATGTAAAAATTCAACCCTAAAGCAGTATAAAAAAATAAACTAGCATCACCTGGATCTCTGGAAAAGAAAGAACTTCTGAATTAAGAAGAATGATAGAAATTCTTAATGAAATTACAAGTGTATTTCAAGAGATGAAATTTTTAAAATTCAGATCAAGTAGTCATAAAATTCAAAAATAAATGAGTAAAATAATAAGCAGGGGAAAATATTTGTCACTTTCTACAGGCCCAGCACTGGCCTCTCCTCACCCTTTACTTCTGCCCCCTCTTTCTTCCTCGGGGGAACCTCACAGGCTCTTCCTTCTGACATTCAACCAGCCCCAGTGTAAATCTCACCTCCGTTCAGGGAGACATGGCTTACTTAAGCCATAGATTTCCTATTTCTGGGATGGGGTCCCTACACCACACCACCTCCCCTTCCCATCTCATGCATGGAGAAACATGAACTACGTGTTCTACCACATGAACCAGCATATAGCAAGTGAAATGTGAGTCGTTCTTCATCAGAAAAAGAAAAATAATAATGCCAAGAATATATTTCTTTAAAACTTGGTATGACTTTTAGACCAAGGAGATAATGAAATGTTTGAAATCTACTCCCACAAAAATCACCCTTAGTCCAGGAGGTTTTTTTCTTGGTAATAGATCCTTTCTAGATCTATTCTTTATCCTTTTTACATTTAATTTGGTATTGGCTCTAAGCTTTGGAACCTATATATAAAGAATCTATTTGAAATTTCTATTTAAGAAGCTTTTGCACTTGAGAATGAATCATTCTCAATTCCTGAAGATACCATTTGCTTTGAGTCTTTCTTTGATTGTAGTATACCCTATGAGCACACACACACACACACACACACACACACACACACACACACACACACCGCTTTTAAAAAAAGCAAGCAACAGACAGAAATTGGACCCTGTTGTAAAACAGTTTGCACTTTCATTGTCTGAAATGAGTAAAATTATATCCCAGGAAATCTTGAGTTCCCATGATTTTATATATTTTGTAAAATATAATTTTCATTTCAAAGTTATTTTAAGGGAAATTAATGAGAGAAACTTTATATCTAAGTTCTACAGAACTTCTTACTTCATTAAACACTCAATGATTAGAGAATGCTGTAAGATCAAAAAAACTTTGTAGCTTTCTATCAGTTTTTAATCTGAATACAACAAACAAGACAATGAGAAAGTGACAGAAGGAACTTTCATTGTTCAAGTGTGATTTGTCTCAGTTGAATTTTTTTCTAATTCCTCCTCAAATTTAACTTTTTATTTGCCTTTAATTTTACATCCTTTTGTACCTTATGAAAAAAAAATAGGAATTTTGAAAAAAGGATGAAGAAATTTGGAAATAAATTTTGACCCATAACCAGCTTTATGAGTAAAATAACTTTTTAAAGGCTAAGGTAGTATACTTTTAAAATGAATGACTGTTTCCCAACAAAATATGAGTAATCAGATATTACCAACAATCACAACCAAAACAGGTTTTCTGGCACGGTAGGGAAAAGCTTTGCGTCACTTAGACTCAGAGGGAGAGAGCAAGATGGGGAGGCAAATTCAAAGCTGTTCTTGGTGAAGTTAACAGTTGTTTTTAAAGTAGGAGAAAATGACAGGGTCAGGCCATCAAAAGGCCTGGGTACGGATCCAACTTATAGTTAGAAGATGTCTGGGGAAGCAGGCCATAAAACGATAAAGCTCTTTTAACAGCTATTCTAGTCTGAAGTATAATTAGACACCTGGAAAAGTTGCAAAGCTCCGGTAATAAGGCTGCTTGGTTTTATATGCGTCACATTCAAAAACAGATGTCAGGCCTTCAGCCATCGTTTCAGATATGCACTCTGTGGTCTCCATGATATTCTCAAAGGATTATCCTCATTTGCAGAGCATGAAAATAGTCCTCTGAAAAAAGCTTCATCGGTCTTTAGACTTGGACTTCTTCCTGTGTTATAATTTTCTATTTCTGTGTAACAATAATGAAGACACTGGAAAAGTGGCTGAGACAAAAGAAAGGAGCAGGGAACTGGACAAAATCCAACACAGGCTAGGGCAGCTCAGGATCTCACTCGGGGTCTGCTCCCCGTGGCATGCGGTTTTATCTTACTGTATCGTCAAGATCAGGCAATCGGTTGATTTTGTGCTACCCTGTTTCTTTTTGATAACTACCCCCAAACTTAACAGTTTTAAATCACCACTTTATCGAATTTCACCATGTTATGAGTCAGGAATTTGGGCACTCTTCTGCAACTTGTCACTTCAGCTGGAGTCACTGGGCTTTCCGCTGACACTGAGCCTGTCTAATAGGTGCAAGGCTCACATGCCTGGCACCTTGACAGGGAAAGCTGGCAGTCTGAGCTCAATGGCACTCATCTCCCTCTCTGCATGGCCTCAAGGCCCCTTAATATTTCACTCCAACAAGCACAGGCCGAACGTGGAGCCTGCTACTCAGTTTAGAGGCCAGAGGCCTGTGCTCAGTTGGTGGAAGCAGTCACAGGTCAGCTCAATCCCATTTAAGAATCAGCCTCACTCTCCCTGCTCTCCTTCCCTCCCCTGCCCTCCCCTCAGCTTTCTTTTACTTCGGACCTCTTGGCTTCTTCCTAAAATCCCTCCTGCTAACATCTTGCCTCCAAACCTCTGTGTGATAATAGATTTGTTTATTGTTGTAGTCAGGGTCTGCAAGATGATAGATTTAATACAGGACACATAATTTATAGAGTTATTTTATAGTATTCACTCAAGAAGTCAAATGCAGAGGCTTGCAAGAGATAGACCTGAAGGATCCAGTTGAGGGCCTGGATTCCACAGCAATGTCCTGCACAAGTTGAGCTGAAGGCCTAGAGCCCAAGGCAGTGTCCTCCATGAGTCCAGGCAAAGGCCCAGAGCCCAAGGCCATGTCTCATGCAAGTCTGTGAGCTGCTTTGAGAAGGCCCACAGGCCAGTGGTAAAAGCTGGAAATCCTGCACCAGTGGGGTGAAGGATCTGAGCCACCAGGGTGAGGGATCTACTTTGGAATCAAGAAGCAACGCTCAAGGTGAAGACCAAAGCTCCCCTGAAGAGAACAGCAGCCATTCCCAGCCACAACAAGGACCTGAGCTCCTCCTCCCATGAGAACAGCCAAGCTCGCATCAGGAAAACCAGCCATGGCAAGCTTCTCCAAGAAAATCAACAGCCCATGATCTTCCCCTCCAAGTCTCTTTTTGTGCCAGTGGCAACAGTCCTCAGGTGGGTCTTCCACACCCAGACTGTGCTGATTCAGGTCAGCGGGGTGTTCCAAGTTGACCATTAGTTAACCCACCACATCTGTCATACAAGACGTATAAATCAAAATCAACCACTACAAATCTTAACTTGCTATTAACTGAAGATGTGTAAAAGTAAAGACAGAAGTGCCAGCTTACTTTATGGAAGTGACAAGATTAAAGAGAAACTAAGAAATTCTAATTCAGGCAAGGATTCATCAACAGGCACCTGTTAGCTGCCTTTAATTCCCTTGATCCAGAAACCCCGCTAAAGATAACCCACCCACCTGGGAAAATCAGAGCGAGAAAAAAATCTATATCTACAATATGTTTATAATCATGAAACACTAGATGTTACTAAAGCGATGTCTTTTGAATTTAATTTATGTTTTGTAAGTTTTAAAAGTTTTTTTTAACTATAAAATTTTTCAAATGCACTGGCTTATGCCAGATCTATAAAGATCTGATAAACATGCATAAAAGATTTCTGGCTTTGAAAGCATATAAAAATCTACTTATAGACATGCATAATAACAAACATCGCTATACAAACACAACATATAATTTATCTTTTTATTTGGACACATCACATGACAGAGTACAAGCTGACATAATGGAAAAAAGACTCCCCTGGGAATCAGCACACCAGAGCCCTGACCCAGGCTCCCCGTACTGGAGGACAGGAAACAAGGCAGAGAATGGAACAGCATACAATCAGATTCCCAATCGCTGCAGTCCCACCTGGAACATGAAGGGAAGAAAAAATCCACCCAAAGGCTCTTCCTTGTTTTCAAATTATTTCATTCTTGGTTTCGAAAGTATTCATTTTTTTCTCTGTTGCCTGACTCCTGGCTAGTTTAAAAAGTGGGAAAATGCTCAGAACGTAAAGCACCATTGACTCCAACTGATTAAGTAAGACTAAAATGTATGCAAGCAGCCACCAAAACAACAGAAAGACACTTCATTCAGCAGATATTTTTGTGTGGGACCTGTCTTTATAAGTACAGTAAACAAACACTCATGGGATTTATATTCTAAAGGAAAGGGACATAAACAATAAACAAAATTAATAAAATATTTGGTCAATCACCAAATGGAGAAAAATAAATCAAAGTAAGACAGGATAATTCTGCAGGGGCAATAAGAAATTTGAAGCAGGGTATCCAGGGAAGGCTTCCATGAAAATATTAACTTAGTGGAGATCTGCAAGAAGAGACAAGCAGCTCTGAAGAAACGTTTTGAGTAGAACTTTGTGACTTCCCAGAGCGTAGGAAATCACTGGGAGGAGTGGAGCAGAGAAAGTCCTAATCTGACTTAGTAGGCTCATTCCCTCTGCTGTGTCCATGGTAGGCTTTGGCCAGTTAGGAAGCTGTTGCAATAATGCAGGCAGAATAATAACAGGCAAACTGCTAACAAGTTTGTGTATCTGGATAGATCTTGAAGGAAGACACTGTATGATTTACAAAAGGACTGGACGTGTGATGGAAGAGTAGAGACAAACGCCAGATTTGGGTCTGAGGCAGTAAGCACCAGGGAACGGACAGGTTGGGGCAGGCCTAGGCTGGGCCAGCTGAATGTCATGAATGGACATTCCTGTGATGTCCTACTCCAGCTCTCAAGCAGGAAGTTGAGTGTACACCTGTTGAGTTGGACATGAAACTGGAGATCACTGGGAAAGTAGAGGTAGAAAAGAGGTCCAAGGACTGGTGCCTAGGAGAAATCCAGGCTAAGAATCTAGGAATGGGATAGGATCTACATAAGGACATGAGAACGAGTGGATGGTAAGACTGGAAGAAAACCAGGAGAATGTGGCAGAGTATAAGTGAAGATAGCGTTTAAAGATCAGGATCCATTTTTGGAGAAGAAGTGGTTAGATCTAAACTCATAGATGTTGTGCAAGTGAAGATATATACACCAACTAGACTGAAAGCTGTTTATAAACCACATCTAGGAAGAAGAATATATTTGTTACGTGTGTCTTAGTCACAATCATCTAAATAGAAATACATCTTGGAACATCCAGGAATTTACATTTTCCACACCTTTCCCCACACCTTTCCCAATGCCACCACCACCACATCCATATCACAAATTATTGTTTTCAATTATTCCTTTTGGCATTCTCCTTATTTCATAAAGATATTATCAAGATCAGCATAATTACTAATGGAAAATATTCTAGTTCTTCATATGAGTTAATGAAGACTGATTATAAATCCTTTTCTAAAGTAGACATTAGAAATTAATTTTACATATATAAAATACATTTAATTTACATTCGATATGAGTGCATGTGTATATGTGTATACTGATCAACTTTTTATCACTGTGGCAAGATACCTGAGATCACCAACTCATAAGAAACAAAAATCTCTTGCTGGCTCACAGTTTTGGAGGTCTCTGGCCATGACTGACTTGCCCTTTGCCTTTGGGCCTGTGGCAGCACAGTACATCATGGTGGGAGCACAAGGCAAAGAAAGAAGAGTAAGATACTGGCATCCCCAAATCCCCTCAAAGGGCACAAAACCAGTGAACTAAATTACTCCAACTAAACCTAACCTTTCAAAGTTTCCACTACCCCACAACAGCTCGACAGATGGTGGAAAATGCCTGTGCTACACTGGCCTTTGGGAGGCACTTATCTAAAGTACAGCGAGGTATGATATTCTGCAAACTCATGGCATGTTACCAAATGGAGATGGTTTGAGAATATATTCATCAAAATCACATGCTGGTAACATTTACTTAGTTACCACCTTCCATCCTAAATCCTGCCTTAAGAAATCTGGCCTTCTTACTCTCTGATGAGAAAAAGTGGTGGTGCACACCTGTATTCCCAGCACTTGGGAAGCTAAGGCAGGAGGATTATAAATTTAAGCCCTTCTAAACTACATAGCAAGCTCAAATCCATCCTGGATTATTTAGCATCACTCTGTCTAAAAAAAAAAAAAAAGATCTAGGCATGGTGGTTTGTGCTTATGCTGGGAGGGAGACTGAAGCAGGAGGATCACAAGTTTAAATCAACTTGTACAGTTTGCCAAGACCTTGTCTCAAGAATATAAAAAATAAAAAAGGGCTGGGGATATAGCTCAGTGTAGAGATCCCTAGGTTTGATTCCCAATGCCACCACCACCACAAAAAGGAAAAAAAAATGTATTCAAATCACCCAACCAAGGTTAGTGAAGGGGAGAAGAAATAGATACAACTCATTTGACAGCCTTAGGATAAGACATTTCATTTAGATTTTACTGGACACCAGCCTGCCAGTTCAGTAAGGCAATGAAGAAAAGCAAACAGAAATGGAAAGCAAAATAAAGAGCAATCTTTATCTACCTGGACATAATCATAAATTTTAAAATGCAATCTTGGCTATATCATAAAAGGATTTTCTTTGCCTAAGCATAGCCGTGTTTTATTCCATTAGAAACTAATCTGAATTTTTCTGGAGATTTTTATTGTACAGAAAAGCTAATTTATTCTAAAAGCATTCTGCAAAATATTTCTCCAGCAAATTGAAGTAGATATATGCCATATGACATCATTAGAACTTACCTAAATCTAGAGATTCTAGTCTATCAGAGATTCTGGTAATGAACTAGGCCTCATAATTCCTTGGAGTTATGTTTTCACAGACATGCCATGTAGACATACTGAGTATGTGCACCAAATATAAATGATAAGGGCTCTTCTTGGTGGAAATGGATAGCATCTTTGTGGCCTTAGCTTGACAGATTAATCTTCTACACTAAGGTGCATGTCCTGTTAACCCAAATGCACCTGTCTCTAGTGCCCTAGTATGTTTTCCAGCCTTCTTCTGGCACTACCTAATAAAAGCTATAAAAAGAAAATATTTCCTTTCCATTACAATAGCAACAAAAATTTTAAGAATGAAAGCAGAAAAATACCACGCCACATCACAGGTCTTTTCTTAATTATAAATCTAAAAGCAATTAGCATCAGACCATCACATCAGGTCAAAGAGCAAGAGTTTTTCCACTTTCTTCAAAATGTTAAATTTTAAATTATCACTAAAGTACAAAAATAACATAAGCATAAATTCTTAATGACAGAGAGTATTTGACGGACATAATTGTTTAGCTATGTTGCTATCTTATACTCTGTATGACATATTCTTTTCTATTGGATTATAAACCCTAAAGATTATGAACCAAAGTATTTTCAAACTCAGTTTTATATGCTGTAACACAGGACTATAATGGTAGAAATAGTTATTCTTTGACATTTACCAAAAATGTTATTTACTAAAACTGCCACCTATACAACCCCTCTGTGATCATATTTTGAATTTAAAAGAAGGAAGGAAATAATAAAATATCTAAGGTCCCTCAAGAGCATCTAGATCTACTTCCTAGATAATATTGCAAGTTTTCTTGTGCGCGTGTGTGTGTGTGTGTGTGTGTGTGTGTGTTATAGGAGGTTGAACCTTTGCCCTGAGCTACATCCCAAGCCCTTTTTAATTTTTTTATTTTGCAACATGGTCTCACTAAGTCACTAAGCTGCCCAGGCCAAGCTACAATTTGGATTCCTCCTATCTCTGCCTCCCACGTTCTGGAATTACAGGCCCACTAAATTTTCTTTTTTTAATATATAGAGAATAAGATATTACTATAAAAGTACTAGGAGCTTTCACTATCCCTTTCCCATCATCCAGTTTTCCCCACCTTAAAACACACAGGCACACTTCCTTGTTGCCACCACATTCTAATCTCTCTGGAGACTTCACTAGACCTGAAGTATAGGTCTTAAAAGCAAGCCTGAAACAGGCTGGAGTGAACCGAGAGGTAACGGTGGCGGCGC